GCACAGGTAACGGGGAGCCTCGGCGGGCGGCCGCAGGTGGGGGCGCGCGGGGAACCAGGCTCCTGAAGAGCAGGTGGGAATTCGTTCCCGGATCTTGTGCGGGGCTGTCAGATCTTGCGAGGACCTAGAGCCTCTGCCTCCTCAGCAGGAGCTGCTCCAGAGACTGATGAATGGAAGAGTCTATGCGGGAAATATATTAGGACGTCGGGAAGCACGCCCTGCGGCTCATTTTGCAAGTTGCACGGGAATACATTTGTCTCTAGGACAGAAAAAAAGCAGGACGTTTCACCAGTCCCTGGGATCCCACTAGGTCCCTGGCTTGATGCCGCGGGGTGTCGGTGAGGGAGTCGTAGGGTAATTGCTGGATGCGTTACGATATGTTTGGACTTGGATGTGCAGAGCATATGGCAGATATAAGGGGAATGCCGGATTGTTTAGTAGCTGCAGGTAGTTCATTTAAATTTCATTCATTCTTAATGGAGGCAAAGAAGAGTGTCAGCTGACAGGCGGCTGGAAACATTTTAAGGGAGAAAACGGGTCTCTACTTTGCAGATTGTTTTAAGCCCTAGTTTCGAAGGTTCTAATCATTATTCTCTGGGAGGCTTTTATTTCTAATACAAATATTGCATACGCGTCCGCGCTGCACATGTCACCGCACTTGGAGGTGGAAGGGTAAAACCTTCTTACATTTCGGCCGGACGGAGGGGAAGAGGCTGCAGAGGAGGGAAGTACTCGTCCGAACTGTCAGTTGTTGGCGCTCCCGCTTCCACCGGTCTCTAGACTTCCCCGCCTGGATGCGTCCGAGCTCGCCGCGAGCAGCCGGGTGCGGGAGCCAGCTAGGGGGCCGTTACTGTTGCCACTCACGGAAAGGGACGGAGGCGGGCAGCACCCAAGGCCGCTGCTGCGCAACCGGGACGCAATCCCGCGGGCTCTTCCCCTAGGCAAGAGGTCCGGGTGCGGCGCGCACACGTGGACGCAGCTGAGGTCGCCGCTCCTCCCGGCACCCTGCTCCCGCCACCTTAGGTCGCTCGGGTGGACCGACCCTCGCAAAGAAGCTCTGGGGAAAAGTCCCTGGAGGCAAAGCAAATCCAACCTCTCTGCCTACGGGTTGTTTGATTTTCTTGTACTTTTTTTTTTTTTTTAATCGGCGGTCACTGGTCCTCGCGCAGCGTTGGGAAGTTGCAAAGAGCGAGGGTGTGGGCCCTGTGGCAGCACCCTCAGGCCCCTGCCTGGCCGGGCGGGGAGCAGCACCAAAGCATGGCTGGCCGCCGGAGAAAAAGGGAGGCGACTCCGGCGGGGGCAGGCTCCCTACGCTTAGCCCTGGGCCCAGCCGCGCGGGGCGGGGGTGCTGCTCCTTCAGTGGTTTCACCTTCGCTTTGGGGACTTAACAGTAGAGCCACGGTCACCTGTTTTTTCTGGGAGCAGAAACTGGTAGAAGGTGGAGAAGGAAGGGGTGCTGGGAAGAGGCGCGGTGCAGTATCCGCGCGGAGCTCTCGGCTGTCCGCGCGGGGCGGGGCCGCGCAGGTTCTCTGTAGCTCCCAGGTAGCCGAGAGGGGAGGCGGCCTGGAGGGGCGGGAGCCTTGAACCTGCCTCAGGGGGAAGAGAAACCCGGCTGCGGGCTCAAAGCCGTTTCTTGCAGGCGAAGAGTCAACTCGGCAGGGATTATTAACCAGGTCAGCTAAATGAGTCTGAACCTCTTTTCTAGAATCACTGTAGCAGCCACAAGGCACTTCCTCCCGCTCCCCTCCCTCTTCCCAACCCCCAACACCTCTTTTCTTTTTTCGTTTCTTTGCACGGTTTGTTTCCTTGACAGAATGTAATATTCATAGTTGTACTTTTGTAACCACACCAGGTCTAGCAGGTGGGGGAGTCGAGTGCATCAAGCCTGAAATCAGCCTTTGAAAGTTCTCTGACTGTTGGGTCTGAGATCTTGTCAAAGCCCATAAAGGAAAAGTTATTTCAGGTCCTTAGTAGAAATTAATCATGCTACTTAGGCGACCGGCACAACTTGGAATAAGGAAATAGCATGCAAATCTCAAAGGCGAGCCCCCTTGCGTAGCCTGTTGATGGACTCAGGAGCTGTGTGAGCAACCCTTGGCTTGCCCTGCTCCCCTCATGGCCCTTCAGGACCTGCAAAAGCCACACCCCACGTTTCCCCTTAGACATTACTTTTGCACGTCTCTGCTTCCGTGCTTAATTTTTAAGAGGTACAGAAGACATGGAATCATCATTTATTAGCACTGGAAAGTACCTTAGAAATAGAATCCAAGCTCTTATGTATACGCAAGGAACTGAGGTCCTGAAAGAGAGGAAGTGATTTGTCCAAGTCACGCAGCTAGGCGGAGGCAGAACTAGGACTGGCACCTTTGCCTCCAGAACCCTGGTCCTATTTGATGCCTGTTCTCTCTCACTTGATGTTGGCTGCCCCCTATGGGCGGCTGAATATGTCGCTTATTCCTTAGGTATTGAGCGGTTTCCAAGAGGTGCCCAGTTACTAGTTTGGAAAATGTACTCCTCAGTTCTGAAGATGTAATCTCCAGATATAGGCAAACCTAAAAAGTTAAGTTGAGTTGAATCTATGACTCCTCTTTCAGATTACTCTGGTTTTCTCGGTATTCCTGATATTTCACAAGGGTGCCACTTCATTTGGGGGCTTTCCAAGGATTTCTCTGTGAACCTTTAAAAAGATGCTGACATACAGCTCTGGGCTCATAATAACATATTTTTCACCTTATGATGCTCGTGTTTTTTATTAAAGGGAAACAACCGTAATTGTTGATCAGAAGTTGTTTAGAGCCCTTTGCTGACACTTCAGAACAGGATTAGGCTCTTGTTTGAAAAGACAGACACTATATGAAAGAAATGGTTATAGATTATAAATACGGTTTAAAGCCTTTTTTATGTTGACAATTTGGATCACAACTTACTTGTCACCATGCATCCTGAACTTTTAGATTATTGCCCACAATAATAGTTTTAAATTACAAGAACCTCAAATTCAGGATTTTAGTAAGCATTTTTATAAGTCAAGCAGACTTGTAAAGAGTAGGTAATATATACTTGTAATTTAGTTTGGGAAGATAACTCTGATATGAATATAAAAATATATTTTAAATAATAAGTTGCATTATGATATTGTTTTATATCATTACTTTTATTGGTGTCAGTTTTATGAATTTCTCAATATTACAATGATAAATTTTAGCAAAGTTTCTAAGATAGTATAATTTTCCCTCATCTGATTTTATGAGTAAAATTATAACTAAAAGTAAACTGTGGCTGTAAAATTACTCTCATCTATTCAGTATATAATTAATCAACATTAAATATAGAGTTACTTCAGAAGCCATCACAATTCATAGTTTTGGTCAACTTGGTAAAAGAAAAAGCTCTTGTGAAAACAGTAATGAGTTCTTTCTAAGCCCATCTGGGGGAATCTCTCAGTTTTGAAATAGGTCCATTTTAAGATATTTCAAGTACCATTCAGTCAGAGGTAGAAAAAACAAGATTTTGACTGTCAAATGGCCTAATTATTTACTTAGTTACTCTAGAAACTGAGTATTATAAACATGGCCACAAGTCGGATCAACCTGACCTGGAGTGTTGAACTGTTTGATATTAATGTTATTTATAAAACAGTTTGATCATTTGATGGTCTCATCCTCAGGTTTTTAAGTCCTTTCCTTTTAGATTCTCTTAATCTTCTAATCTTTAAAGAATGAATTATAAGTATATTGTTGAGTGAATTACTTCCTGAATTTTTTTCTTTTAATAAGACTCCAGTTCCATTGGAATAATATAATTGAATTATCTATTTTATTTGGGAAATATTATGTGAATGATGTGACGTAGGCCAAAGATTTTGAGTGTGTACTTATACTAAGGACATGGGCTCTCATTCCTCTTATTGTCCTTAACATTGTCTTAAACTTAAACCTTCATTGGTTGGAAAGTTGCCAAATGTGTAACTTGTCACTGGTCTAACAGTAACAACAGGTTTAAACATGCAGAGCAATAAGAAAGTGCCAAGTCCTTTGCCGTATCTGTTGGATACCAATAACAGTAGAACCAGTGTACAATAGTAGCACAACAGAATGCTGAAAACAATCTTGTGTAAGTTTTCAAAGATTCTAGAGGAGTTTTTTGTTTAAGTTTTGCAGTTCAGTAGTTTAAATCTTCTTGTTTCAGTCCACATCTGCCCATTTTTTATTTCTGCAGCATATACAGTAGTGATGAGGATGATGAAGACATTGAAATGTGTGACCATGACTATGATGGGCTGCTTCCCAAGTCTGGAAAGCGTCACTTGGGAAAAACTAGGTGGACCAGGGAAGAGGTAACTAATCATGTTACTAAAATGCGGAAGAAACCTAGAATGTATCAATTTATGAAAAACAAAAAAAATCATCTAAACTAGAGGTGCTCAAATTCATTAGCAGACTCTTTGAAATGTTACTCTAGCCTGCCTGTGCAGCATGCTTACCTATCACGTTCCCCAACATGTACACTGTATCATCCATTTCCCAACTTCTTTGTAGTTTTAAATGTCCTCTTTATGCTTCATCTGTGTTTCCTTCTGCCTATTCTGTTCTTGCCTCTTACCCTACGATGTCTTACTACTTCTTCATTACTTGTGGAGATATCACCTCTTCTGTGAAGCCATCCTGGCTTCCCCAGACAGGTTAGATGCGTCCCCCAATCATTGAATCCATGTTCTTACTTACTGTTGCTATAACTAGACTTTAAGTCTACTGAGGGCAGGGCAACACGCCTGTTCATTTTTGTATTCCCTGAACTCAGAATTGCTTGACACAAAGTGAGATATTAACAGGTGTTCACTGAACAAATGAATGAATTGCTGTTTCCAAAAACAAAACAAACAAAAGAATAAAACAAAACACTCAGAGAACTTGTCTTGTTATAATTGGATTCATTTAACATTCTTGATCTATAATATTTCACAGAGCCATGTACATGAATGTCTATTCTAAAAGCAGTCAATAATGGATGGAAATAACTTGCTTCTCATCTTTCTTTTTTTGCAAGCTTATCAAAAGCTTGACCTTTGTAACAATGAAAAAATTTAAGGAGAAAAATTATTAATGTATGGAAAACATTTCTTTGTCTTTTAAGTTTCAAAAATTTTGCAACTGATTTTTGATTTTATGTTAGAATTAATGGTAATGACTTTTCCTCACTTTCATTCCACTCTACTTCACTTAATCCAGAGCTCCTGTTAATAGGCAGGCAGGATTCTCAGTGAGAGCCATAGGAAATGCATATTTTATCCATGGAGATTGTGACTTGAATGGTCAGTTCTTAAAGATACAGAAGTTCTGTTGTTAACACTGGTTTCTTAATTCCTATGACTGTGTTGTACCAGGGACTCACTTGTGTTTGAAAGTTATCTTTGCAAAAAATAGGAGGGTTCTTCACTTCTAGAAACATGTTTAGAAAGACACTTGTGAACTAAAAGATTTTTCCTGATGTTCAGTGTCTTTTGTGTTCTAAGTTTGGCCTTATTTAAATTATATTAGTACAAAAACTAAATGATTTTCTTACATCATACATGCCTTCAAGTTTAATTTAGAAAAGTTGTCTTCAATATTTTATATGAAAGAGGTTGAACAAACTAAAAGTTAGAATAGAGATTGAACTATTTCTTACTCAAGATCCTATCTGTTGCCAGAGATAAATGTCTATTGAATCTAATATTGGAGTTCATTTCTTTTTTTCACAGAGTAAAACTTTTAACAGGTACTATATATCAATCGTTCAGTGAGCCAGGCATTAAGCTAACAGTTTTGCATAGTTACTTCATGTAACTCCAATAACCCTGTTGACATCAGCATTCCCATTGTATAGATAACAATTCTAAGGTACAGAAAAGCAAAATGATATACCTGAGCTTAAACAACTAATCAGTGGCTGAGTCAAGATTCAGACTCTGGTCTGTCTGACTCTAAATAAACCTATGCTCTAAACCTGTATATTACATTAACATGTGTTGTATTTGGATATTTTTGAGAGATTTTTTTCTGGATTGGATTATTGGATTGGTTCTCTTTTACTCTAACTTAAATAGAATTATATAGTAAGTGACTGATATCCTAGGATTACCTTTAAATGTCTTAGGATGAAAAACTAAAGAAGCTGGTGGAACAGAATGGAACAGATGACTGGAAAGTTATTGCCAATTATCTCCCGGTAAGTTAGTCATTTTTTCTTTCTGTAAAAGTAAATTTCCTCCCAAAGATTTAAATAAGATATTCTAGGAGAGGATATTAAGACATTACATATTTGCTCATATATAAGAAATAGGAAGAGAACTAACATATAATGTATATTGTAATTCATATAATTGGGGTTTCTAAATAGATTGTTAAAACACTTTTATGGCATTTGAAAAATATCTGCTTCTTATTTTATCTTTCCATTTATTAGGATAATATAAATTAGCATTTTGATGATTTGTTACATGGTAGATGACTAAACTTATCATTTTTCCCCCAAGTCAGCTTCTTTGAAATTTTCTATTTTTTTAATAGCCATACTTTTGATACCTCAGTTTAAAAGTTTAGAGTCTTTCCAGACTTATTTCACTCCCCATCCCTTACATTCAAGCAGTGACTAAGGATTTGGGAATTCCTTTGTCATCAGTCCCTTCTTTTCATTCTCTGTTCACAGGTCCAGCCCCCTTCACTCTGTGGATGATTATAATGGCTTCCTAACTATCTTCCCTACTTGTAGCTTTCTACTTTTCCATCCATTGGCAGATGGAGCTACCTAAAATGCAGCCGTACCGTGTCTTTTCAAAATTAACAACAGTGACTTAGTCTCACAAATTAAGTGCGCTGCCTTGACCTGGCACACAAGGGCCCTCCCATACGGCTCCGACGTACAGCTCCAGTTCTGTTTCCTACTTCCTCTCTGTAAGCAGGTTTAGTTGAATTCATTTCTGCTTTCCCTCCTCTGGGCTTTTGTCCTGGTGATATTACTTCATGTCCTTCAAAGTCCTTATCAAGAGCTTTTCTAGCCTCTTCCTAAGGAAGCAATTTCTCATCCTAAGGAGGAATTTGATTTCCCATCTCAATATCATTTCACTTTGGTTTCTTCTTTCATATGAATCAAATTATGCCTTCTATTAGTTAATATATGTTTATCTTTTCCTTCTTATAAGATTACAAACTCTTATAAGGTAGGGCCTATCTTTACTCATCTTTATTCTGCAGTAGTAACACTTGGGGTCCTAAATTGAAGCAAGTGTCTTAGTTTCAATGGGAGTCATTTAGAGTGGGTTCCCATAAAAGCTTGACCTTAATATAGAATCTTTAGCAAGGCTTAGCCTTAGTCCTTGTAGGCACTTACACATGCAACAGACTAAGGTTAAGGTTAAGTTAAATTGACAGCCATATGTACACTATGATGGTCCTTTTGTTCACATGGCAGGACATTTGCCCTCAGAAGACAAAGCTCCTAATTTTAGATGCAACTTTATATGTTCTTTAGCCTTAAATAATGGGGGATAGCCGGGCTCTCCAAACATACCCTAGAATGTGCTTGATTATGTTCACTGAATATTATCTATGTATGACTTATATTATTTATATTATACCAAAGTCTTCATTTGCACTTACCACAACATATCTATATGACAATGCATACTTTATCTTATCTGTCTAGAATCGAACAGATGTACAGTGCCAGCACCGATGGCAGAAAGTATTAAATCCTGAGCTCATCAAGGGTCCTTGGACCAAAGAAGAAGATCAGAGAGTAAGTTTGGTCTTCATTGGTATGCGAATAACAATTAAGAATATTCCCTAAACATCTTTGTTGAATGTTTCCTTACTTGAGGAAACAGGTAAAGTATGCAAACAGGAAGTAGAGAACTCTATTCCCATATTTCCAATGAATGAAAGCAGATTTTTAGAAATTTTCTAAAGATCTTGTTACATTGAAGAATGATTACACTAACTCATTACATAACATTAAAACATAGATTATTTTTGTGTGTTTATCTGAAGGTGATAGAGCTTGTACAGAAATACGGTCCGAAACGTTGGTCTGTTATTGCCAAGCACTTAAAGGGGAGAATTGGAAAACAATGTAGGGAGAGGTGGCATAACCACTTGAATCCAGAAGTTAAGAAAACCTCCTGGACAGAAGAGGAAGACAGAATTATTTACCAGGCACACAAGAGACTGGGGAACAGATGGGCAGAAATCGCAAAGCTACTGCCTGGACGGTAATAATATGTCAAAAAATATATTGATTGGGAAGAATGAGGGAGTGGGTATTGAACAATCTGTTTTAAGTGTATGGTAAGTGAATCACATTCCATTGATCATAAGTGTTTCATTAGATAAAGCAGATCCATAGCTTTTAGAACCAGAAGATAGCTTAGACTTTATCTGGTTGAGTACTTCCAGAATCCACCCAACAATGAGCCTTGGGCTACGTCATTAAATTTTCCTCAGCCTCAATTTTTTTTTTAATTTTTAAAATGAGTAATAAACTACTTCACAGAGCCAGTGTTAGTATCAAGTAAAATGAATGTCGAAGCACTTTATAAACTATAAAACTCAAAATACCTAGAAGGAAACTGAGACAGTTTGTCTCTGGCCTGAGTTCATGTAGCTGGTTAAGTGACCAGAAGGAATTCAGCTACCATTTGTCTGATACCAGCTTATCGTTATACCACTGGCTTAATTTTCTTCTCTCGAAGAAAGAAATAGTGTATTTATAGAATTATCATACTGCTTCCAGGTTCTTAAATAATGTTAGTGTTATGCTTTCTTTTTAATGAAGGCACAAAAATAGCCTCATTGTAAGGGATATGTATAGAAGCTCATTTTGTCCACTTCCCTACTTAAACAGTTAAAACAGATTTTGTTTAATTTGGAAGATACTTTTTTATAAAAGCTTACGTAAAAAAAAATAACGTAAGATAGAAAATATTTAAAATATTTTTGTTCTTGAGCTTTACAAACCAAAAGTGGAAAATGGGTCACTTCAGTGATGACCATGGCTCTGATGGTTTATGTCATGTTCTCCTGTGAGGTGCTAAAGCATTTCCTCCCTTGTGACTCTGCATAAGCTTAGAGAATTCAAAAGGTTGATAAAAGGAGACCTTTTCTCCCATATGGTCTGAGAGGATATGCTGTTGATTATTCTAAAAATTTAAGGGGCGTTGAACTTCCTCTTTCTTTAGCATACATTCCCCATCCCCATCGAAATAGTAAAAGGGAGGCTTAAAACGTTTTTTTTTTCCTTTGAATTGAGAAACTGTTTTCCTGAAATTGAAAGACTTCAGTGAAAATGCTTTGCAGTTTGAAATCATGTAAATATATTGGGAGTTAGCATCTTTCCTTTCTGGATCCCATTTTCCATTCTCACCTCTGTCTAGTTAGGGAACAATGTGAAGTAGTTTTCAAAAGAGGGGAGTTTTTTTTTCACTCAAAATTTCTGGCTAGTACTATTCGAGAAAAAGGGAGGACAGTGAGGTGACAGCAGCCTCATTATCATTCACAAACTTCATTGAGTGCCTATTGTGGTGTAGGCCTGTCTAAGCCACACTCATAGGAGTGACTTTGTAAGATGGCTGGAACTTAAGGTGTATTAGAGTCTTATACCATGAGTAGTCAGAATAAACATGAAGGGTTATTATACTGAAAATATTCTTTTATCAAGGAAACAAAATGATTAAAGGATTTCAAAATGTATAGAAAGCTACAATTTCATATTATGCAATTATGAGAAATCTATGGATTTTTAATAGGTAATAGGGGGAACATGCTTTTAGAAGGTTAGAGAAGACTGAAACAATTAAAGACACTATTAGTGGACCAAAAGAAAAGGTCTCTGTTAGAAACAGTTTTCTGTCAATTAACTCTAATCTGAATTGAAATTTTTTGTTTGTAAAATTTGTATGTGATATATTTCTGTGCAGAACTGATAATGCTATCAAGAACCACTGGAATTCTACAATGCGTCGGAAGGTCGAACAGGAAGGTTATCTGCAGGAGTCTTCCAAAGCCAGCCAGCCAACAGTGGCCACAAGTTTCCAGAAGAACAGTCACTTGATGGGTTTTGCTCATGCTCTGCCTTCAGCTCAGCTCCCTCCTACTGGCCAGCCCTCAGTGAACAATGACTATTCCTATTACCACATTTCTGAAGCACAAAATGTAAGCCACTCCTGAGAATTTCATTTAAGGAGAGAGATGGTTATTTTAGTTCCAGTTAATGATAATCTCTTGCAGCCACATACTTTTCAGAGAGTTTTTATGACCAGGATCACAATCAATCAGATAAGGGTGGGTATTGGCGTTCCTGACATGTTTCCGGAAACAAGGGCGTTAAATGATTTGTCCAGGGTAACGCAACTCATAGAGACAGTGCAGACTGGCATCCAAGTTGTTCGATTCTAACGCCGCTTCAAATATAATTTGAAGTTGGTTTTTTAATGTAAACTCACTTAACAAGACTGCTGAAGAGGAATGGAGGAATGGGGATGCAGCTGCAGTTTAATATTTCTCTCTCCCAAAATGAAAGTGAATGTAATATTACATTTAAAGAGGATATATTTTGACATTAATATTCAGCAGAAAATTGTAAGCTCCATTGTGGTAGTGATCAAGCAAAAATTTCTTAATTTATTTATTCTGTAAGTGTTTACCTTTGTACTCTGAGTCAGGAGCAGTTATATGACACAATTCTCTGGTGTCTCTTTTTATCCTCCTTGGGTCACTGTGATTCCTTCTTCATTTCTTGATATTGCTACTTAGGGAAAG